GGAGGGTTGCGGGGATGTGCAATATTATACGACGAAATAAGATAACTGAGCAAGAAGTGCTAAATTTTGCGGTTTTCCACACAAATTCTCTTGTCCTAAGTGGCTTGAAATAATGGGAACAAAGTCACTGTAACGCTGTACTAACTTCTGTGACCATCGAATCAGCGGTCTTACTGACAAATGAAGAACGCACAGCGTTAGATGAAGTTTTATACACGTTGGTCGGAAAATCTAAAGAGACTTACGGAAAGAATTTAACTAGCTCGGGGCAGGCTTTTGTAAAAACTTTGGTAAACTTCTACCAGACTACACGGCGCTACAACTCACAACATTGACATATTCGTTAAAAAAATCAGTTTACCTTTCTTCTGTATGGTTATGAAAGCATAAATGAGACTCCGTTTTCTCCAGTTTCTCCAGGCTTATCCATCCATGGAATTTTTAAATGAGCCATAAACGCTGCCTCCAAAATATTTCGGGAGAACGGAGTAAAGCTCCACGCATTTTTCGTGTCCCACTCTCTTTAATCCTCGATCTTAAAATCTGAAGGGAAGACACCATTTCGGAGACACGATCATAGACGGAATAATATCAATATGGTTCTTAAATAAACTGATTTCCCAAATCAGGACTAGAGTAATCTGGCTCGAAACAGGGTCCAGCGTCTGGCTTGTTTGTAAACACGACAACTAAACTTTAAGACGTGGAATTCCTTGACGAAATGACCCACTGTCAGTTTCCAAAGAAGGACTATGCTATGATAAAAAATAAAATTATATAAACTACCTGTCTAATCGGCTCGTTTATTCCGTGTATTTAATTCTGCATGTAACATTTTAATGAAGTTGGTAATGACAGGTTTCTCCTGTAGAGTGCAGCTTGTAATTGTACACAATCCGGCTAGCAGAGTCGTAATTAAACAAGAGAGGTACAAGTGGTACAATTACCGAGAGAAACTCTGTGCGACAGACCGTGATTTAGAGCGGGCTAATACTAAAGTTTGCGCTATTAATAACAGTGTTTAAATAACAAAGGTATCAAACGATACAACATAAATTACACGATACAAATAAAGGAGTCTGTTGTTTAATGACAGCTACAATTATGACTTGTATTGCTTACTTTATTTTCACGGTAACGGTGATGGTAAATACTCAAAACTAGGGACTTTGGTATCACTGAATTACTGCAATTAAAAGAATACTGAACTGCAGTGGTTAGCAATGAATAATTTGTAATATTTATTAATTATCTCACTGGCATATTTTGACGGCTGTAGGCATCCTAATGTCACAGAAAGTCACAGGATATTAGTTTAAATTTTAATACGGCAAGTGAATAAGACAGAATAGATTAAGACAAGTGACAGAAAAAGAAACTTCGTGATTAACATCTGATACGTCATTTGACATTTTAGTCAATATTATGCAAGTTTCATTTCACTTTGGAGTAGGCAGATCACGTGGTAGTCGTGGGATTCACAGATACAGCCTACAATTTTGTTGTCGTGTGGGCAAAGGTTTCAGATTTTGATGGCGAAATATCCATTTCTTAATTCGAAGGGTTTCGTGTTTGAATCTCGGTTTGAAGGTCAGTTGTCCTAAGTTTGCGATCTTTTTCTTTGATCCCTCAAGACAAACACGCCTGATTTAACTAACTTCATACAACAGAGTCCTTCTTAAGAAGCTGACAGTGCACTCAGCGAGACAAGAAGTTCCGTCTCTAATGATAACAATTTATTACCGTGTTAAAAATCAATTATTAAAAATAATACATACGTTTCGGGGGGGGGGGTTTATAAGTATGTGTCAATAATATATTTAAATGTTTATCTACGGATATTCGGCTAGCCATGACATGACCTGCACAGAGTGAAGGGTGCATGCGGTCGGTCATAGGCTAGCGACCACCTGTCAACTGTCAAATTGTCAACACATCTGCAGACCACAGGCAGCACAGAGATGTCACACCCGAGTTACCGGTAAGTTCCCCCCCTCCCCTGCTCCCACGGTGCGAACATTGGCAACCTGCAGTTGACACGTAGTGACCACGGCACATGTTAACTCCCTCCACACAATTCAAAAACAAAACACACCATGATCCCTGTATCACATAAGCCACATATATGCCAGGCTTTTTACAGACCTCGACCACTTTCAACACCATTGATTGAAATGTTTCACTCATACGCAGACGTCTCTAACTTCCAGAACAGGGTAGCCAATAAAACAAGGGGTTACAGAAACAAGCAGACCAATCGTATTTAAACATGAAATTTCGTCATTGTTTCAATTGGATAAAATGAACGCGTAATACACATGCAATGTTAGTCCATCGATTTTTTTTTTCTTTCGAGATTACTTAAAAGAATTCGACGAAATTTAGTATTTGGTGAATTTGCACTAAGAGATGTGAAGAGAATTTGGATTTCTTTTGTTTGTGTTTAATCTAATCCCTACTTTTAAGGCTAAAACTTTCACAAATTGCGATGTCGGTATTTTGAGTGTTAACGCCGCGTGGACTTAGTAGATTAGATCGACGTTTTTACAGAAACGAGAACTTCAAATTTTATAGATTTCACCAAAACGACCCCAATTTACAACAAACTAGTACATGAAACGAAATATACATCTGAATAAGGTTCGTATATTTTGACAAGCATTGATAACGAACTAAAACAGAAAATATGTAATGCTAACACGGTGTGTAATATCTGTATTATTGATAAAGTTCGTCAACAATAGATTTGCAACTGCAGTAAATGAACATCAAAACCATTATGGTATAGAAAATCTTAAAAAATGTTTTTTGGGAAATAAAGGATCAATACAACTTTTTACCACTCCTGATACGTCCCTGACTGTGTCCCTTCTTAGCAAGGGTTCGTTTTAAAATAATTGAACTGATTATTAATTACGACAACCACATCAATGCGTGATACATTTTTATTTACACTGTCGTATAAAGGAGGCTTTACGGACTATAAGACGTAGCTAAATATTAATATTTAAATATCTATTGACAGCGCATGAAAACCGTGAGACTACGCCGTGACACAATTTATTAAAAACGATACACGATTATAATCGATACCAGCGTGGGAAACCTACATGGAAGCTTAACCTTAATAAAAAAATCTTTGACGAAAACAGCAAAACTGTTGTTTCTGTCTTATTAAAATGGGCTTTGTTTACTGCCAGAACTACAGTGACCCGCTTTTACTCACAGCCTTCTGAACAACGCACAGGATAATTTCTTGTCAAGTCACAAACAGAACTCGGCGTTCAAAGAATCAATACTGAATCATATAGCATATTACGAACGGAAATTTGCATGTGTCTGCTGATCAGGACCAGTTGAGTTGTGGATTGAAAATGCCAATAACAGAAGCGAAACATTTAAAACTGACCTGTTTAAACTATACAAATAGACTGCAAATGAATTCTAACAAAACCTACTGCAAACATCACTGTTCATTCTGACATTTTCACTTAGTTTGTAAAATCTGTGTTGATTCTGATTAGCTCTGAATTTATGTACGAAGATGCGTATTATTTTATGGACGTCGTTCAGTTTCACTATTATCAGACACGCGAAATAAAAGGCGAGGGCAATAAGTGGGAAGAAAAACATGAAGGATATAGGAGACGAAGAATGAATGATAATACGGCAAGGATGGAAGAAGAAAGTAGGGACAAAAAGAATAATTACAGAAGAATACGCATAAGAGGAAAGTTTTATACTCAGAACCCTTTCCGCTTGCGTTCTCTTGCGATACGTCTACATTACGTGTGTGCATTACGACTAAAACCTACTTGTCCTACTGAAGCTTCATCACTTACAGAGACAAGAAAAACATTTCTGACCAACCTCGCGTATTTATAGTCATCACAGGGTAGGGCAAGTGGGGAGATTTGCGAGAACGTGCGTTTAAAACCACTTTATGACTGGGAAAATATTCCATTATGCGGTATCTCACAAATCCATTACATTTATTTCCTGAATTAATCTAAATTAAGTTTTGGTAATAAAATACAACTACCCCTCCCTCCCCTGGTGCCATACCTCTCTTCACTTCAAATGCTGATAGGGGTGTGTCACGTGATCAACGTCGCTACAGCGCGGAGCAGGGAATCCCTACGCCCCTCGGACCTTTATCCTAGCAGCAAATCCATGAGTAACGTGCTCCTCAAGAATTCCCTTTGTATGACGTCAGTTTACCTGCAAACTTGTGTTTCTGTGTTGACATACGCGTTTGAATCTCGGGCCTTAACAGCTGAGCATCTGACCCAACTATAATCGAGGCATGACATGCTTAAGAATTGGATGAGAAAAATCGAAATCTAAATGAAATTTTCTTTGTTGTTTTTCTGCACGGATACAAATTTACGAACTTCAAAACCTATTCGAACTGCACGCCAAATTATAGGACCAACATATTTTACTGAATATGCTTACGTTAATAAAAAAGTACGTGTTAAATCACGCAATTCAGCTTTCGTGTCTCGTCTGTTCTGTGTCTTAATTCTAAAGCAATTAATTCTTTACACACACATGGTAAGACTCACAAGGTAAATACATAATTAATATTATTTACGGCTGATATTTCGCGCTTTGCACCAAGTATATAAAATAAATACGTAAGTGGACTTCGTTTCCGCTTGCCTACCCGCCCATTCCAATATTGAGCTTACTCGAAGTAGTTCGACGACATTTAATATTGCGGATCGACAATGAAAACCGGTTGGCGAATTTAACTGAGAAAGGAGGAATTACATGAAAGCCATGGGGCGATGACAAGGCAGGGCTTCAGCTACAGAAGACGGCGTGCCAAATTTACGTTAGACTAGCTCGGGACACGCGCAACTCGCTTCTTGAAAAAGTCCATCAGACTCATAAAGATCCGGCCACTGTCGCGATGCACCCAATGTCAGCATAACACGTGACAAAGAGCTATGGCACCTCATGTTTGGAACCCCTACCTTGTTTACCGTTCCTACCTGCTGCCTTCTTTGCTGCATACAGATTCGCTTCTTCTTGTGCCTTTCCTATATTCTTCTTGTATCGTATCCGCTTGTTTCCAAACCAATTCGACACCTGGAACACAAGAAGACGGCGTAGTTCTAGACACTATCTGGGCTTAGTGATGAGTAGCTCTACCGAACAGGCCCTGCAGAGCAACCACTGTTTTTTCTCTAAGCAATACCCTGGTGATGGACGCAATGAACACCTCTGAAACGTCCGTAAACGTCTACCAGACAACACGGCGCAATATCCCAGGCGACGGTCATATTTACGATCGCAGCCGTGAGAACCAGAAATCTCTCCAATACGTAGTGCCTTTAGAGAACCACGTTGTACCTTTCACGTCACAGTAATGCAATGCCTGCTGCTTCGTCAATCAGAATAAGCAAATGCGAAGCTAATTAAGCATGAAATTATTTGAGTTCAAATTTCAAAGCGCCTTTATATTTCTTTAATTGCACCCGCATAAATTAAACAAGAAGCTTATACTTGAAAATCCTTTCGTCTAAGAGAATTTCTGTAATTTCATTCCACCTCGCGATTTGATTAAAACTCTCGTTTTTCCCCCTCTCCCAGTTGTAGCCTACACACACCCTTCTGTAGTCGTTAAGATAGCCCAAGGAAGAAGACGAACCCCTAACAATCTCTGAAAAAGAATCTGAAATCTTTTTAAAAATTGCTACCCTCCTGAAAGCCTATAATGAAAAGCTGGATCATCGTAACGACGCTGGGGCGGAAATGCCGGGGGTGGGGGAGGTGTGGATGTCTTACATTTCCAACATGGCTGCTGTCAGAAAGAGATTAAAACTTTAAAATATTTGTATTCAGCTGTTTGGTTTGTTTTATATCTGGACTGATCTTGTAATGGCAAGGAGAATTGCTTTTGGAATATCAACCCCTGACCGTGATTCTCAATCCGTGAGCCGTAGTACACAGGTGTACCGCGATATTCTAAATTCATATCCTTTAATACACGCTGAACGACAATTTACAAAGTTTCTAACAGCAACGAAATATACACTGTTGTCTCATCAGCCAATGTTTTTGTTTGTTTGTTAAATTGCTTGTAACATTTATTTATATTTGGTGGCATCTCAGGTTCTCACAGCGGAGTGTATACACTCTGTCTTATGGGATGTTGCGTCGGGTAGTCTGGTAAAAATTTAGAGGTGATCGCTGCTTCCATCATATCCCTGATAATGGAGCACCTCTGAAACGTCAGTCAGTTTCAACATGGCGCAACATCCAAGACGACAGACATTTTTCTTTTAATTTTTATTTCTCTGACACTTTCCATTCATTGCTCGTTCCTAAAGTTAACCAGTAACATTTTCCCGTTAAATATAACGCGTTTTACAAAACGTAAAATACAAATACTCATATAAATGTAGACACATATACAAGAAGCAAAGCTCACCTGTGACACAGTGATACCACACTTCCTGGCAAGTTCCTCCTTCGCCTCTTCGGATGGGTAGGGGTTACTGAGGTGTGAGTAAAAGTATTCGTTCAGGATCTCTGACGCCTGCTTGCTGAAGTTCCGTCGCTTTCTCCTGGGGGAACACACAGGAACACCCTCTATTAAAGAGCAGAGCTCACGCTACAAACACATCAATATCCTAATAGTATTACCGTGGACAACATCTAAAATCACCCAGGGAAATTATCAGAAACCATACGATCCACGTCGACATATTTTATTTAAAGGATCTTTTTATTGTAAGACCGAGCGCTGTAGAGAATACTTCACTGTCCGTCCCATGCAGCAAGTATGCCGCCTGATCTGGCGCGCTCAGTCTCGCGATAAAAAAGACCCAGCACAATTATTACTACGTTAGCCATTCTTTCGTTGTTCTGTAACAAAAGCTCCCAAAATACAACTTAAACTTACGAGAACTGTATTCTTAAGTAAATGAGTGTGATATTAACGGCCAAATTTAATTCTATGTTATCCTGAAGTAGCAACGTACAAAAATATCAAAATTTCATAATGTAATTAATCCTTTGAAACAGAGAATCAATTGGTTAATGTCAGGAAATAATTAGTTTTTTCTCAGACTTACATGAACCCCATAAAAACACTCTATGGGCAAAACTGAAAATTACTGATTGTTAAAGCAGGTGGTACATACAGTTACTGCTGGGGTTTAAAACGTTAATCAACTAAATAAATGTTATAGAATCTTCGGTGAACACTACATAGCTACTCAATTCTAAAGGGTTTTGACGTCGGTAGTTTACACTTAAAATTATTCTTTGTCAGAACTTTTTTCATCGTCTGTTCTTTAAAATCACGACGTTTCGGAGGCTGGTTCTGTCTCCGTCTTCAGGTGAGAGGTACATACTCTGTTGGGTCCCTTAGTTAGAGCTAGTCTCTGTCACTGGACACTATAAATCGTGCAATTATTTCAACTTATCCACCCAAGTTCGGGTTCTGTCAGTAGATTATAATACTTAAATGATAAAATAAAAATTATAAGACCGCTCGTGCAGTTCTGAAAGCGACCAGTTCTGAAAACGCAAAAAAATTACATAAAATCCCTGTAAAAATGTTAAGGCGGACACAGAACCAGCCTCCGAAACGTCGTGATTTTAAAGAACAGACGATGGAAAAAGTCCTGACAAATAATAATTTGAAGTACATAGCTACTCGTTTTAATCAAATTACTTGATTTAATGCAGTCCAAACGTTGAACGTCGTGTTCACAGGAAAGCCAGCTATTCAACATCGTCTTTAACCAATTCCAACTGCATCCTCCCATTCATATTATGATATCTTAAGCGATCTATTCTGTACTTGATACATCGAACTATCCCATACCCTTCACGCAACTGCTTACGTAATAATGACATGTCGATGTTTTTGCACCAGATGATATAACATTTGTTCGGGAGGGAAGAATATTACAGAGTTGAATACAGCGTGTTCGCCCATAGTAACTTATACAGCCAGTATGTATTCCGACAATACGTACATAAAGATTACGGGGCAATAAGGGGCCCATCCCAGAGCGCCATTACGAATCAATTTCCCCTCGCATATACGACGCAAGCAAGAGAGAGAGAGAGAGCAAACCCCCAGCCATAGCGTCAGTGAAACGCACATTCCACCCGGCCTGGAATTTCCTAATAAAACCCGGCGGGCTTCGAGGGTATGAGGAAGTATGGAGCGGAATGGGCTTTTTTTGGCGGGGAGAGGGGATGAAACAAGAGAGAGAGGGAGGGAGAGAGAGAAAGGAATCTACGTCATTGATCCATTGCTGGAGGCAAGATACTGCAGACAAAGAAGATAGATACATAATATTATAGTAGTAGGAAAGAGATGAGATGAGATGAACCATAGACATCAAGTTAAGAACAAAAGGATGGAGAAACTAAAGTTTTTATTTAGCTTTTTTTTTTAAACATCGTCTCTTCTACCTCTAAAATTATCAACATTTGAAATTTTGTATTTTACAGTTTAATTTTTATTCCAGTTTCCTTCCAAAAGCAGGCTCATGTTATAACGGCGTCAAAAGCTTGTCATGTTTTGATCCAAATGACGGCTTTTCATTAACCTCGGCAATGACTCCACGCTATTTAAGGTTAACCCATCTTCATCATTTTTAATTTAATACCGTCGATAACATCAATATGGCGAACTTCTTACGCCAGCACCATTTAATGTAGCATTTCCAATTCGAAAAATGTGTTGACACTGGTAAGGCCGTATTTACGTTAAGTGATGACTGACTGAGTCATATGTTATTCAATCGCGCTGTTCCATTTGCGTAACATAACTTAGACTAAGATGGCAAAGTGAATGTAAACAGTGAATAGGTAGGGACTGGAAAGGCGGTTTCGCGCACATGATGGCATTCGCCTAGATAAAATGAGGAGAACCACTTTTTGTGTGTTGATCTGTGTCATCAGTTTTTTCATCTACTTTATATTTTAAGTGAGTATAAACCGATATTAAATTGTTTACATTTTAGAATACTTTATTCCAAACGTCGTCATCACAACGCGTTATAATTGTTTTAAGGACAGACTTATTATGCCTATTTGTTTCAGTTTAATTTTGTTTGAATTTGTTCCTTTCTACTATATCTTATTAATGTTTATTCTTATAAGAGTTATATCAGTGTTCACGTCACGAACACTTTGCTCTTGGCAAAAAACAGAATCGAATTAAACATAATATAAAACAGAAACATCATGAACGGGCGCAATATATAATTTCTGTTCTGTGTGACAGCGATGAACATCGAAGCATCGCAGCTAGGAATGCGTGCAGTGAATTTCTTAAGGGGCGTAGTGAAGCATGGTTAATCAAACAGGGCCTGCAAAGGTCAGTTCGACACTTTTCTCTTTATCAGTTCTTTGGACAAATATACACAGCCCCCTGGGGGTACAGTTTAGTATTACCATACATCATCCCTCACGTGAACAGGTAGCAGCAATTTTAACCCTTTACATTCACGTCTTACATTAAATAAAATACAACGCATTTCCATAAAAATGTCCATGTGGCTGATGTTATTTAAGGAAACAATCGCGGTTTGTTCTAAAAATCGTATAAAACCTATGAATCTGAATCTTATAGCGGATTACATGCTTTAAAAGTTAAATAAAATAATATACGAAGTCGTATTTTCCGGAATTTAATTACTGCTCTCCTGAATAGCCTATATATATATATATATATATAATATGCACCCCAATTTTGAAAATTAAAATTTAATAATAAATTCGTTACATCAGTGGCAAAAATATATTGCACAGTTTCTAAATACAATACAGTGAACACTAAGCGATATATCCTGTTAAACATGTTTATAGTTCATTTACTATCAGTTTGAAGAACAATAATTTTTTAGGGGAGGTATACGCAGATAAAAAGCACAGTACGTTCGGGTAAATACGAGTCTGTGATCCACTAAAAAATTCAATTTGTACGTCTGTCGTGAGCATTTACTTTTTCCTACATTTATTTGGACCTGCTTTGTTTTCAAAAAATGGAATGTGAAATGAAAACAGAGAAGCGGGAATGCGTGAGGTTAGTTAAGATGATGGCAGGGGCTGGGTAGAGGAAAAGGGTAAGTTATGATAAAAGAGGAGTAGAATTGAAATTTATGAAGTACAGGTTTTGTATAACGTCACTGGAAATGTCTCGTTTTACTTTCGTGTAGCTCTTTGGAAAGGACAACAGAAAAAAATTGCTAGCCGTATAAAAGGAATTTGTTAGCACTTTGAGATCCTCAGGGTGACAAAACTGAAACGGTAACAATTTTATTTCTGTTTACAATAACTATAACAGCAGAAAATGAATCACCAATTTAAAATAATTTTTATATTTTGACACTAACTAGTTTTATGAATGAATATTTGTTCAGTTTCATATGTGTCGTCTTATAATAACAAGGGCTGATCCCCATAGAAGGAGTGCTAGGGCGCATTTAAAATATTGATTATCTCAGGTTTAATCCAGATTAAGAATAAATGCAATATATAATTCGTGAAAGACAAGAGCCATATGATAGCAATTTCGAATATCTGTACGCTATTTTAGACTCCAGCGACAACGTAATGGACGAATGACAATTATATTTGTAATGAAGGAAATGTCAGTATCAAGAACAAATGCAGGGAAAACGTGGCCCGCGAGCTGTATGCGGCTAGCGAAAGGAACCAATCCGAGTCCATCACTTCGATAAAACTTTACTTTCTCATATAGCAGAGAGAAAGTACTGTGACGCGAACATTGGGATAATGTCGGAAGGTTAAGTTTTCACATCCGCAGTAAGTTACACACTAAGTGTGTACTATTTTAATCTACTCTTCGTGAAGAAGTTTGGTAAGGCCATCTCCATATTCGGTTTAATTAGTGTTAGCACAATAAGAACTCCAGGAAGTGTTAGTACTGTAATCGATATCATGCCCCAATTAATTATTAGTATTTATTTAGCCTTTTTGGCTGTTGTCAAGCAATTAAATAAATGAATTGAATTGAATTAAAGTCTTTTGGGATATTTATGAAGTGTGTTTGGATAACTATTTACACATTTGTAACTATAGAAATTTATTTCGAGGCGTACAGTTATTTTAAGACACTGCATTTTAGATTTTCAACACTATAAACTATTATGTACTATGAAAATATGACGACAGGATAAGGTATTTTAAACAAAACAAGCACGGAAAATACTAAATACACTTACCAATGTAAGTCGAGATAAAACAGACTTTGAGTTGAAAGTCCCCCCTCCCAAAAAAAAAAAAAGCAGAGATTTTGGCGGAAGTGTAAGAAGTACGAAGGTAGCCCACAGCAGTTTGTACAGGGGATCTGCAGTGTTTCCTGCCGTGGCAGACTGTTCTTCCACCGACGCCAAGTTTTCATTATTAAGTTTTTGAAGACTAGCTCTAAGTAGAAGTGATGCCCCGGAAAACAGCGCTAAAAGATATGAACTTTGTCAGTAGCTGCTCTTCCGTATTAATAATAACAAGAACACACACGAACAGAAGCAAGCGAAGGAAGAAAAGACCAAAAGACAATTTCTATGAAAATGCATGGAAATTTAATACAGTAATAATTAGATTCTCTTCCTCGTGAGGGAGGAACTTCCCTTTCCAAAGGACAACAAAGTCAACGTTCACCAGAGGAGGATAAACTTTATATGAAGGTTAACAAAGTGAACTGTTTTGGAAGGGAGACAAATCTCAGAGAAACAAAATTCCTGTAAGTCTTTCTCAAGAGAAGGAGTAATACATTCCTACAGATCCTCATAAAACTTCTCAAATCACTGCAGCAAGAAAAAGTCACATAATCAGAACATGAAAAGAGAAGAGTTATTTGGATACCGAAACACGAACTGATTGCAGACAAATGACATTTCGAGAAAGGAAACTGAGTTGGGGAGTATGGGACGCAGCTACCAGCAGTGACTGAAACATTCTAATTCCCACCTTGTAAGCTAGACAGAAGCTCTGCGCACTTTGTAATATTTTAAGACGAACTGGAAGCTCAAATAAGCTTTAATTATTCACCAATAAAGTGACGGAAGAGGAAACTTCGATAAAGGCTACAGGCCAAAGGTGTATTAAATAATATCAGAGTAGGTTAGAATCATACAAGCGTACCCTAAATTATGCATCTTCATACGCACAAGGGTCTCATTCTTAGAACATCCATTACGCGACACGTCCCAGAATATGGGCGGTTCCTTCGATTTCTAAAAAAAAAACGTCTAAAGTATCATCAGAACTCTACAGCCTTGTGCATTTCTTGTCCATCACATGCAAGCTACATGCACAGTCCATCGTAACCTTCTCCACTTGACTGTCCAAATTACATTTCCATTTCAGATCTTCCCATCTGTATCTGAGTCCCCTAAAAGATCTCTTTCCAATCAAATTTGTTTTTGCATTTCTTGTTTCCTGTCATGGACACTGCAAGTCCATGATATCTGGACCTCCTACATTTAACCATCGTAAGCAAAGGCAAAGCTACTGAAGAAGTTCGATATTACGTATTCCTCTCTATTCCTGTTTCTTCACGTGCACAATACAATAAAAGGAGGAATGAAAGAATTGAGGGGATAAAGGAAGACACTAAATAAAAACCTAATTAAGAGAAAGAAAGAAGGAAGAGGTAAGAAATGAGACAGAAAGAGATGAAGATGTTTCTTTACGTTAAATGACATAAGAAATCGACTGCGGCGAAATAGAATTGGGCAGGAAGCGGTGCGGGGATTCGAATGGATAATTGGCGGTCCAAAAGAGGTTCGAATCGAGTACTTCCTGAATACAGGTCAACACTTGGGATAAAATTCTAGGGTGAAATCTCAGGGTTTCTGCCGATGGTGGGTTAAAATCTCTAAACATGTTTTTCTAGACTTTGTCTATCGTCTAAATTACAAAGACAAACAAAATATTTGTAATTTAGACGATGGACCAAGTCCAAAAAAATACTATTTTTACAGAATAAAATTCTCGGAGTTACAGCGAGGCATTGAAACGAAGACACGAATACAATACGGAGAAAGTACGTATTTTATTTCACTGCAATAAAACATATGGACACAGAAGTAGCCGCCTCTAACGAAATAAGACGTACTTTGCTCACGTCACGACATGCCCAGCCGGATCTTGACAGCTGCTACGAATAAAAACCAACCCCACACTATATTCCAAATTCCCCCTCCCCCCTGTCAACTCTGGCGAACGGACGGCGAGAACGTCTCCTGTCACTCAAATGTACCGCGGTTAGGATTCTATCCCGGCTGGCGGAAAAAAAAAACAACAACAAAAAACTATTTATGCATTTATCTTTGAAACTTGAAACAGTTCATAGGGTCGACGTCTTTATCGACTCGATTATTCAATGTTTCTTTATTTATTTATGTGCAATGTCTATAAAACATGTATGGCATCTTGATTCTCAACGATTAATTGGAAAGGGTGTTGAACTGGCTACGCAGCAGGAACATTATTTGCTTATTTACCAACGCTATCAATAGCTCAGACTACACAACGGCGAACGATAGGATCATTCGAGAACTATGAATTTGAAAGAATACAGAAGAGTCCGTGGCTTAATTTCGATACTATCCTAGCATTTGCCTGCAGGGACTAAATAAAATCACGAAAAACCTCACTCAAAACGCCCGGTCTTCGTGCCGAGGGACCCTGGACCTTCCGAAAACGAAGCAGAATTGCTAACCACTCGATGGCTATGTTGGCTAGTAGAAATGATATGGAAGTCGCCATGGTCAACCACGTTCAGTTAAATCAATAATAATATGACAGCAGTGATAGTGATGGTCCTTTGTATTATAGTATAGAAATATCATTTTGTAGCCTGCATTTTCACGCAGGGCCCGAAAAAACCTGTAAAAATAATCCGTTTTCGGACAAAAGATCGAAAGGGGGAGCTCGCTGAATACGAAGCTGGAGGGATTACCATTACACACAATTCAGTGATTACACTAATACCTGACTAAACAGAAAATTACAACCCTCCAAGTTTTAAATCCATAATTATTCGATTTCGAACGAAGTCGTCAATTTTAACATAAAAATCATTGCAAAAAAAGTATTTGATTTACGTTTTAGCTTTATCGGTGTAGGCAGTATAAGGGCTCCTTTGATTCTTCACAAAAAGAAGCGTTCATTTATTTTAAACGGTTTGCTCTAAATACGCAATTTATGTTAAAGGCAAAAAACCCATTTGGGATATTAAAATTAATCTTAAAGAAATAAAAAGTGCGGATATGAACTGGATTCAGCGACGACATCTTGCGAAACGTTAATGGACTTCCGGTTGTACAATGAGCAGAGAATTTATTGACAAACCAAGCGACTATCAGCTTGACAAGCAGGATTATTCCCCATGGAATTAATTATAATGTAATTGATACTTTGCATACAAGTCCTGTAATTCAAACCTCTTACTATTACAATAAGAGTTCACGCCGCAGTTTTTAGATTCAGTTCTTATTCAATATTTTGAACACGCTTTCACATAAATATATAAATCCACAAAGGAAAACGAGGGATAGAAGGAAAAGGAAGGGATAAAATATGAAATATAGAACCAAAGACAGATAACAATAAAGAAAAGCTCCGAGTTGGTGTGTAACGCAGCATAACAACATACCGATTTCACGGTTTATGTGTTCTGTGGTGCGGTGGAAGTACACATCACTTTTTTTCCCCTTTCCTTTCTTAACGCGGCCAGCAATGGATGTGTCTGGCTCACAGGGATGGGGCAACGGTAGTCCTTCACATTACAGCTCGTTCGCTTGTCTCAACACCAACGCCTTCTTACAAGACACAAATAAATTCACAGCACTATCATACCTTTAACCCTTTCAATGCTACGCACGAGTTATCTCGCTTAAAAGCGCCGGGTTTGTTTGCTTTTTGAGGTAATGGAAAGAAACTTCTCATCTTCTCTGTCAACAATCAAATAAAAATATATGCGGGTTGTCAGCAACCGAAATTACACTTTACAGTGGAAATATATTATTAGGAACGGATCTTATGCCTAGCAGTTATTTAAGAGAATTTTAGTTCTCAAACCAGTGTTACAGAAGAGTAGTACAAAATAGGGGAAGTCATTTACCAACTGACGAAAATAAACCCCACGGAGCTAGGTAAGAAGCAGGAAATGTCAGACTTGGGTCTACGAAAGTATTTACGGGGTCACGCAAGAGTGACAATACACATTATTACATCGTACAACCAGAAATCGTTTTCCTGAAGCCAGATGTGGTGCCAAGGCTGAGAATGCGCGGAGCTATACCTTCACTCTCTCATACGTCTGCATGGCGAGGTGCTTAATTAAGTATCAGGGACAACTTTAATTTTACCTTCACCTCTATTCACTGCACACGCCGTCGTGACAAAGATGAGATTACAGCGTTCCAATATGGAGTCAACTCCACTTTACTGACAGTAATCGCGCGTCGTGTTACAAATCGGTACCGAAACGAATTCACTTTATGTACTGAAAACACGAAAGACGTTCGTGATGGACAGAAGAGTTGAACTTGAAGGCGGAAGAAAAGAATCTTGGACCACAGACATGCAAGATTTTGTTCAAAATTTTAACATACAACCATGTACCTTAGCTGAGACAATTTGCATACAAATAGCGGCATTTATGTGCGTGTTGGTGTGGGAGGGAATGTTGCAGATCGTGCAAGGGGGGAACCACGTGGAATAGAAAGCCTTCTCTCACCGTCGTACCACCTCACTGATTTGACCTTTTTATGCGAGGAAAGATTGCTTGCGTATTTTCTGCGACAAGGTTAAACAAAGCACAATACCTTGATACCCATAGAACGCCATGATGTGTTTCTGAAACCTCAAAATGGCACTTAAAATAAAAAGTGTACATGATGTGTTTACGCCGCGAATTTTCGTAAGTTCTGTGTGATCTCTCTGCAAGATTTTAAAAAGCACCAACAAGACCAATATTGACATGTATTCACGTCTTTGATTTTCTTCGTCTTGACTTCAAGTAATAAAGCAAATGCCTTGTCTTGTTCATGTAATAACACCTAGAGATTTATAATTACCAATGCTGAAAAACCAAAAATATTTTTTATCTTGAACTCATCGGAGGTCGCAGTACGTTAAGGGCAGGTGTTCGGTATGAAATTTTCTCCAGTATCCCTTCACTTCACACCTCTGAAGTTCAAACATTATCGTGGACAAACACCCTCAGCGTTTCTTCCCTACCGCGAGAGACCAAGTTTCACACCCATATAACTACGATGATAAGAATATATGTAGGATTTGAGGTTTTCACAGCGGTGTCTGAGAACGGAGGCAGTATGACCTCTGAAACGTTGGTTAACATCTACCAGACTACACAGCGCAACAACCCAGAAGACAGGAATCTTCATCGCCCTGATGACGGAGGCAGTATGACCTCTGAAACGTTGGTTAACATCGATCAGACTACACAGCGCAACAACCCAGAAGACAGGAATCTTCATACTCACCGCTGTGAAAACCTCAAATCCTACATAGAAACTTATGAAGACGAGGTGGTTACTGATTTACCTGGCGTCAAGGAACCTGGAGCGCAAGATCATGACGGCCTCGCAGGTACTCTGCTTCAGCTGCATCTGGATGGACGAGAACTTCTTGTGGATGATTTGAACCATGCGTTCGATCTCCTTCGGGGTGATAGGGCGTGTCCGGGACTGCTCCCGCAGGAGGTTCATCACGTGCGTTGTGAACTCGTTACACGCCTGCAACAAACCAGAAGTTTTATACACAACCATAAGCGACACAGTGAAATGACGGAGGAATTATATGCACATGTGGTACGGGGGAGAGAATTACAGACCTACAAGGAAAGTAAGAACGAGAAATGAAGATAGGAAACACACACACAAAATAAAAAAGGAAATAAATAAAGGAAGAGAAAAGGAAGTGATAAGGTACGAGTGACGAAAGAGAGAACCAAACAAAGTAAGGGAGATAAAATAAAACAAGAATCAAACAAACACGTATGAATGAATCCACTACGCGCTAGGGTAAGAACAAATTACAGTAGTTTTTAGTCTCAATTTCGGTCCCAGTTTGGCGGAAACGATTCTTTCAACTGCAACTCAAAAAAAAACCAAAAAAAAACTTCTCTTACTTCTGTGATAGGAAACCAGTTATGTTTAAACACAAAATAGCGTCACACTTCAATTGTTATCTGCATTCTCAAGAGAAAACAGATCTGCAGTGAATGGAGGTCCGTCTTAGATTATCTCGGCAAAATAATGAGCCGCCCTCTTGCGAATGTCCGCGCCAGACAAGAAGTCTAGACGAGGGGTGCACAACTTCCTTATGTAATGGAACTGCGATTCTCGTAATACCTTACAAAACTGACAAAGGCCACAACTAACAAATGTAACTCAGATACGGTATTGGTCTAAAGCAGGGGTGGGCAATTACGTTATCCATAACGGGCCGGAGGGCCTTGCCAGAAATATCTAGCACCTCAAAAGCTGCTATAGAATTTCTATCAGCCTTATGCATCTTGAGTGATTATAATTAATAGGTTATCAAAGTACATAAAAATTGCATTATTAATAATTAATACCCGCATGACATTCTGAGCTCTGATAGGCGTTCTCATGAGTTGTACCTGCTCTAGAGTGACAAGGGACTTTCTCTTATTCACTTGTATGTATAGCAAATTACAGTAGTTAACAAACACAAAAGGCCCCAATAACTTGCATATCCATAAAATATTTCAATTTTCCTGCAACCAAAATATATTTTTCCAATGCCCGAGCCCAATTGCTGTAGTTTGCCCATCCCTGAGTGTAAGAATTAAATAAACAGAGCCTCCCTGAGGATAATTTTCGTATGTACGTAAGAAAGAATGTTCAATAAATTCTGCGGAGAGACCTTGTGGTTTGCCTCATGGTACTGGACAGGCACTTTGGCACTTGCTTCTGATGTGGAAGAAAGCCGACAGCAGAAGGCGATCCGCCCCAAGTTACAATGGTATAAAGAACAAGTTCGCGACGACTGAGATAAATCTGTGTCCGACCTCTGCTGCTGACCAGTTTCACCCCCCACCCCATCCCATCACCCCTTCGCCCAGCTGGCCAAACGTATTGTCCTGACACGTCAGCAAGACTTGCATGGAGGTTCATCCTGGAATGGACACTCCACTCCACGTCAACGGGGAATGTTCCTACAATATATTTGTAAAATTTATCCCACTGCAGGAGTGCTAGGAGCAGTTGCCATGGGACAGCGCAGTCTTGAACTACACACAGTCTTAAAAACATGTGGCGGATAATTTCAATCCTTAAAGTCCCCGGTTAGGGCTCTGTTACCAATTTATGAAAATTTTCCCTACGCTTCTCGCCAGGAAGAGAGCCTAAAGTTGAAGGAAATACAAAAACAAGAAGGAAAAATTCAATGAATAAATGAGCCGTGTAGTTCGGTATAATTTACCGACGTTTCAGAGATGTTTCATAATGATCGCCCTTCGCTTGTAGTCCGTATTTGTCTTTCTCTACCTCTTCCTCTACACTTATTTTGTCATTTCTTTGTTTCTGTCCTTGTATCCTCAGATTCCTTCTTTATACCCCCTTACGCAACTTCGCATTATGGTCAACTGTTAATATTAAATGTCAAGACTGTACCTTGCTAAGCTGCTACAGAACAGTACAAATAAAAGGACAAGATAATTATAAAGACTTTAAGAAAAAGGGCCAAACGTAAAGGAGGTCAGTCGTCGTGCAGTGAAGTCAACAGATCCATGTGATCAGTCATCATTAGAGCTTCCGGTTTTGTGTGTCTCGAATCCTGGCTTAAAACATTACTGACTCAAGACGAACGGAAATTAAATATGCGCCTTTTTCTTTCAGACATACTGAGGCGATACAGTTTCGTAGCTTTCTTCGTGTGTTTAATGAGGCAAAAAGCCGAATTAAACAATTTACATAACTAAATAACTCTTCCCAAACAAATTATTAAACTATAAATCAGAGAAAGTTTTAAAAATATAATTTTATGAGTTCTCTGTACGACACACATAAAATGAACTCGTAGTACGGAAGACAGGTCTGTCCGCACGTTTCATCACATAAACTACTAAACGGAATGCGATGAAATTTGTTATCTGATATTACTAAGATATTCCAGGCGAAAAAATAGATGCATAAAATAAAATGTACATTTAATTACGACTATTAACGTTTATCTTTAACTTTCTTTTCATGTACTGTTTGCTTAACCAAGTGCAATAAAACAGATACTGGACAGTAATTGTCAATCGGTAATTCCGGTATAATGATTCAACTAATAACTAAAATGAACAATTTTCCGACAAAGTATAAGGTGGAATGTACATACAGACAATGGTATATTGAATTAACCAGTACCTACATTATTTATCTAAATGAATTTCGACTAGCCACTAGTGCATGTGTAACTAAATGCAAGGAAATAATCATAATGAACAATGTCCGACATAACTGCAGTCTAATGAATCAAAACCCTCAAAGAATTGCTGACATCTTGTTATTGTTTCATCAACGTTCTGTGATGCCTCTTGCACCTAATGCCAATTCGTTTCTTTATACGAGGTTAAAACGCAGTGCGCGGTGGCCGCAGGCAGGGAAAACATATTTTTAAACCAGAGAAGTAAGAGTCACGACTACTCCCGTCAGAGCGAGCAGTGCCTCTGTCATCCGTCTTGCGAAGCAGAGGGCAGCTTGGTGCAGAATGGGCCATTAGGGCTTCAGGGCGTCGAAACGCTAGCTAATTTCTTCAAAACTCCACGGCAAAGTCTTCTTTGAGCGGTTAAAATTTTACTCGCACCTAAAATTTTAATTTTATGTACGATTTACACCAAACATTTATCATAGTCAATAAAAAAAAGTCTGTTATAAGTCACTACCTTGGAGAAGTTCAATTCTGTTATCTTCATAATTGAGTCTCAGCTTATTTAACAAGGGTTTACAATCTGCATGTGAAGATACAGAGTGCTGAATTCGAAGTGATCATGAACTATTTTAAGGTACTGTACCAATGATCTCGTAGAAAGACAGGAAAATCGTGAAGTATAAATCAGAACAGTTGACCTCCGAGTCGAGATTCGGACCCCAAGTCCTCGTTAATACGAAACCGTAGCCCGGACCTGTCGGACCCCTACGTTCACTCTTGTTAATTTCTCTAGAGTCGCGTTACTATTAGCTCTGCCATCTACAGCCACGGCTTCTCTGTACGATCTTCTCATGAGGTTTTCCAATCAAACTTTTTTGTGTCTTCATGCGTACACCACGTGTCTCGTCCATGTATCTTCTATTTAATCAATGTAAACATACGAAGTGTACAGTGCACTCTGTGAAGATCCATACTACGTACAGAAACCATTTTCTTACGACACTAATCAAAGAAGTACTGAAATACAAGTTCCCAGGCGGTGAAAACATATATGACTTATGTGACGACGTAAACCACCACAGATGACCAAACAAACCGACTATTTAGAGATTGCTGTCTTCAGGGACGTTTCGCCCTGTAGTCTGATAGATATTCATCGACGTTTCAAAGATGCTTACTATCTCCATCGTCAAGGCAATAAACGCCGCCATGACAGCCTGGAATCTCACAAACTACTTAACCAAACTACAAAAGAATTAACCTGGAATAGAAATTTCCATCGGTGGTCAATTTGTTACGGAACTCTAAGATTCAACACCGCCTATGGTAATTAATGTTCGCCAACTGAATCAGTTCAACTCTAATAACCACTCTGCCCTTAGAAGCTGGGGTGACGCCGGTTACATACACTGCGGCGAAGATGGCATGAAACAGACAATTATTTTCTTTTCGGCTTCTTCTCATTTGCAGAACGAACACTGCGACGACTTTCCAACTGAGCTTTTGCGCGCAGAAAGAAACGGCGAGATTGAAAACGAGACGGGAGGAAGCAGGAAAACGAAAAACAGCCATCTTTATGCAAAAAAGTGCTGATGTTTTATTACTTTCTTGGGAAATTAAGACATGCGGAATGGACCGTGTGATGTGGGCGATATAGAACAGACACAGGGATTGCACCTACAATTTTCTAAGTTTCCCTATTAATCTCATCTAGCTGGGAAGTTTAATTTTTAAACCAAAGGAATTTATCGCATATTTATGTTTCAATGGCACGAAAAATCTTTTTTTATTTCATACTTGTTACTCTCTTATGTATTCTGGCCAAAAAGCATAACTAACAATAATTAACCTTTTGATGCCAAAGCTAGTCTAAATAATATTTAAAAACTCAGTCCGTACCTAAAAGAAAACATTACTTTACCATTACAAAGATCAATTTGTTGGGCTCTGTTTAAGGAAATAATCCTTATTTAGCATGAAACTTGTGTTGGGAGGTACCCCTATGAATATAAGGTTTCCGGTAAGTCTTTTCAGCCGAATGCCAGACTAGCATCTTCAATTAGAAACACTCAGTTCGTCCATTCAAAAATAGTTGTATCTTCACTCGACGTTATGAAATCATTGTAGTTGAACGAAATTATTCATCAGCATGTGCAAAAGCATAATAAACTAATGCCGATTTAAAATAATTCTGCATGAAATTAACTCAATCAGTCAACCACTCGGTTATTCGGTGATCGAATCAGTCAGCAACTCAGTCAATAAGCTAAACAGTCACCTATTCAACCTTAGGACTCATTCACTCAATAATTCAGCAAATAAATCAGACAAGATCATTAAACCAAAATGG